GGCTGTCCATTCAAAGGTGCTAAAAATAGCTTTAAGTCATTATAAATGTTATTAAAAATATGCAAATAGTTACTTAAAAATTATTTATTTTCAAGCAATTTTTAGTAATAAAATTTTTAAAAATATTTTTTGTATTATAATACATATTTTTATGAAAAATATTATGTAATCACACTATTTTATGATCGATTTCTCATTGGGGTTCTGATAAATGGACATATTAACTAAGGGTTACATTATGGATTTGGGGAGAGGGGGTCAAAAATCATATAAAAAATATGGACGTCTTATCTAATGACGCCTAAATATAATTGTGTGCAAAATAAACAGCACAAACAATATCTCAATGATATATTGTATACTATATTTACGGTATATTTGATTATATTTATCACTTTAGCTGTAGATTTATAATTCAAATATTATAAATGCATTACATGTTTAATAATAATACTGTTGTAATAAGATTCAGAAATTTTGTGTAAAGTTGTAAAGCAAACACAAAATAGTGTTTTTGAAAATAAATTTTATTTAATTAGTATTCGCTGTCCATCGAGAGTCCTCCCAATTAGTTTGTTAAACATATATAACACACACACACATACTTTATATAACATTTATATTAAGTATATTATGAAAATCAATTGAGAGCTCAGCTGCCGAAGGGCTCTCTCCGGACTAACTGTGCTATCGTTTTGATGGTCTCGTTGTAAGTCATAAACAACACATCATTTTCTAGTTTGAATCGCGACATTAAAAGTGTAAATTAATTTTCACAAAAACTACACAAACTTTTGTTTTATATGCAATTTGAATGCAAACACATTTTTCACAGGCAATCAATTTACACACTATTTCGTTAAAACCTAACAGTATTAATAAACAGTGATTTTGCAAAGCTCTATAAAAAACAAAACACATTAAAAATGCTATTATTTTCAAACCCCATAAACTAATTGTAACAAAAATTTATTTATGAAAATACTCTGATAATTAAAAACATGTATTAAAGTTTATTTTTAATCTTTTATTTTTATAACTTTTTATAATGCTTTTTTCTATTGTATTGTATTGTATCTCATTTTAGTTTTTTAATGTTTATACTGTATATGACATTAAACATGTAATATCAGAATAATTTTAAATCTTCTAAAGTTTATACACACATAAACTTTTATTTATCTATTTATCATCAGATATTTTAATTAAATTGGTTAAAMTCATTGTCTATTAGTAATACTGTATAATTATAAATAATTTAAAGATTATCAATTTAACAAGTTTAACATTTTTATTGAATTTTGTTATATTTTTCTCTACTTATCATAAAAATATTATTGTCTATGCAATTCAATATAACTTATTAGATATTGTATAATGCAATATATGTAGACATAAATTATATATAGCAATCATATTATAGAATATTCTGGTATTTTTGTTTGATTGAAACAGATATATGTTTGGCTTATTTTTGTTGTTGTTGTATAATGATTACCATTTCTTATATATATTTATTAATGTTATGTAAAATAATGGATGAGTTGAACCCCTCCTTAAAGTTTATAAGTAAATTGATATTTTAATAATTGATTGAAAATAAATATTTACAAGAAATAAATGAAAAAATAAACTTTTAATAAAATGAATAAAAAAATTATTATTATTGATTTTATTATCTAAAAAATATAAAATGCTATAACAAATATGTTTTCTTACTTAGTTATCGTATATTTATTTAATTTAGTTATTTATATTATATAATCATAAATTATGAAAAAGTTCCTAAAATACATTTAAATTTAAATAACGTTAAACATAAATTATTTTTATTATATATTTATTAAAATATTTTATCTATACTTCTGGTGAAAAAAGTGATGGAAATTTCAAAATTTAATTATTAAATAGATTTTATTTATGTGATATCACAGTTGTTAAACTAAAAGTAAAGATATATATTTCAATAGAGTTTAAGAGTCTATAGTATTATCTAAATAAAAAATATGAAGACTTTAAACAAACATTAAACACAACTGGAAATAATCACATTTGAAAATATTATGAATATAATAATAATATTCAAAAATAAAAAGATTTTTTACAGCATTATTAAGCAAATCAACAAAACTCAATACCATAGGTTTTTTGTCTAATATGATTATAACAGTAAATGTATTTTTTATAGAAAATAATAATTTAAAGTTTAGAAAAACATAATACTATATAATGCTAATATATGACAATTTTTACTTAAAATAAAAATTAAAAAGTTCAATTTTAATGATTGACTTTACAAACGATATTTTTATATTTATTATTAGAAATTGTTTTTTAATATAAAGTTTCATTTAATTTATTAAGTATAATTGGACTTAAGATTTAGACTTAAAATTGTAATTAAAATTTAATTTATTCTGAGTGTTATAAAAAATATTATTTATTTTAGTAAATAATATAATTTTCAAATGATAAATTATAAAATAAATTGTTTTGAAATTTTTTAATTTTATAATAATATTGGGTTTTAAAATTTGTTAAAAATTCTGTACATTACAAAACAAATCATTTTTATGTTTTGTTAAATTTTTTGTTAAACTTAAGCAAAAGCTCGTAAATGAAAATTACAACAAAAAAATAATACTTAAAAGATATGAAAAAACATATAATATAAATCATAACAAAGTAACAACCGTTAGTAACAGTTAGTATTATTATTATTATTACTACTATTGTTTTAATCTCATACACAGAAAAATTGTTTCGTTTAATAATAATAATAAAAAAATCTAAAAACAATATATTGTACAATATTTCTTATTATATAACAGTATGATATTTATATATTGTATGAATACTGTATAACTTGAAACCATATTATTTATGAATTATCAACAAAATGAATAATAAAAAACTTATTGCAATAACAATAGAAGTTAATGTTTTTAGTTTTTATACAGTATTAAAATAAACTAATACTACTAATAGCAGTATTAGAAATTTTAAAAAGTAGATACATTTAGTTTATTTTGTATATATATTTTTCTAATAATGATTAAATCTATTTTGTTAATTTAAAAATTATAATAGTTAAAATCATAATTAAAATTAATCAATCATTTTATAATAAAAATTAAACTTATTTTTAGATTTCAAATAAATAATTATTTGTTTAAAATTAACATATTTTTAATCTATGTGAATGTTAAATAAAAAAAGTTAAAAAATATACTAAAGAAAAATATGTTGACACTTTAAATAATGCTTTTTTAGACAATACATTGTATAAATTATATACTGTTTCACTATTTTTTTAATTATTTGTTTTTATTACTTTATATACAAATTTAAATGTAAACCACATTTTATATTTCAAATACAGTATAAAATAATTCACTTATTTATTCTTAACTTTTATTACTTTCATTTATTCTTTTATTTTATTTAACAACTATTGATTACAAAATTTAAATAATTTATTTATTTATATATATATTTATACAACACATTGAATACTACTTTCTACAAATCATTTGAGACCTGAAAATAAATAATATTCTGTATAAACACATCTTTCTTTGCATTCATTATTTTTTGTTTTAGTTTTCAATTATATTGAATATAAATTGCAAATTAGCTTTTGAGACAAATATATATTCTTTATATAAACTTTATATGCTTTTTGTAAATGTTTTACAATTTTTTTTTGACTATTTTATTGCTTAAATAAAGTTTATTTTTGCAAAAATAGTTTACCTTATTTTATTTATAGACATTGTTTATATGTTAAAATTTAATATTTTTAAATCAAAAATATTTTAATATTTTAATTTATTTTAATCAGAATTTGTTAAATATTCAAATATATTTATTTAATAAAAATATTTTGTGAAATTAAATAAATAAATAAATTTTTATAGTTATCTAAATATAGAATCTTATTAATGTTTATATTAGATAATATTAAATTATTAGAAAAAATATTATAGTTATTATTGATAATTATAATAATAATATATAATTATTATAATAATCTAACTAAAAGGTAATATCATAGGCAATATCACATAAAAATTATTGAGTATATGACAAATGTAATAATAAGATTGACATTTAATAATCTCATATAAAGCGGAAGAATGTGACACTGGAAGTACATTATTACCAGACATGCAGTACAGTAGTTGCACTGGTAGTTGGCCTTATGTGTCGACGCTGTTATGTAAGCATCGGATTTAAGGTCCCACATATCTAATTACGGAATTGTGTGGACATCAAAACAATACATTAGAGCATTACTTTTATTGATTTTGTTGGGCAATCACTATAATATACAGTAATACAGTTTAACCATTTATAGCGCATCACATCAAAACATATAATACAAATATATATATATATACGTATATATGACATATATATTTATATACCTTATATCTACAGTTGAGCTATAAATATGATCTAAAAATAGTAACAACACACACACACACATAATTGTCGTCAATATTAATTAGTGTTTATTTCATATATATATTTTTTAGACAATAAATAGTTTTACGCCCTGTAATAGTAATAATAGTATTATCATTGCAATATATAACCTTGGACCCTTTCTATGTAATTATTATTCATACAAAACTATAATATATATTTGAAAAAACTTAAATCTCATTACAATACAGAATATATTGTATTCTTATACTATATGCAAATAATACTTTTTTACTATATTTAATATATAAATTTTATATTATACAACATTTATTAATTACTACTACTAACTACAATAAAGTCTAATCGTTGCTAATTTAGATTTTTTTATTTATTTGAATACATATCTTGTCTTTTTTTTAATATTTAATATTTACATATTTATGCAAATTTACTATACTGTAGATTAATTGCATATCATTAGAAATATAAACTATTAAAATAAATATTTAATTATATAATTATTTTTGTTTCTTTTATATATAAAACACATCCTATTTTTATTATAGCCGATAGCAGTTTCCTTCTGGCAAATGCCCAGATCATCGACTATCCCATTGTCTACTGTTCGGAGTCCTTCTGCAAGATATCTGGCTATAACAGGGCTGAAGTCATGCAGAAGAGCACTCGATGTAGTTTCATGTACGGAGAGATGACTGATAGGAACACCATTACGAGGATCGAACAGTCCCTCGACAACCATACGATGGAACAGTTCGAGATACTCCTCTACAAGAAGACACGTATGTATTTTTGATGACCAAACAAACTATTTTATTAATTCATATTATTATTATATGTTTTTGTTTCTATAAGTTTTCTTTTTTTGATAATTGCTATTTGTCTGTATTTTTTGAATAAGTATTTGTATTAAGTTAGTAGTTATTTATATATATACTAATTTATATTATAAAATAAATATTTATTTTTTAAAGCATATATATCGTTGTATATATGCATGTCTTAAAAAAAAGGTTGAGCGCCGGCCAGAAATATGCAGATAAATAATTTTATAATAAAAGCCATTCAACAGTTCATAATACTGTATTACTTATGATTATCTTTGAGTCTAACACCACACATACCGTACCACTACTACAGAACTAACTGAACAGTTATTGTTGTTATGTCTCATACCATCCATTCTATGGATCCAACAATGTATAACAAATAGTCAAATATTTGAGGCAAACATAATTTATAATGTTGTTGACTATTGTGTTTGTGAGACCATTTCATTATAATAAAAAAGCATTATTATTATTATTATCATAAAACAAATGAATGAATGAATGCTAAATTGATTAATCAATTTAAGACAGTATAGTATATATAGTGTATATCACAAATCAAAATATAGCCATACAGAAACATTTATCATAATTAAAACTGTTTTCGTAACCATTTACTATCATTTATTACCATATTGTTTGTGTGTTTTCATATTTTATAAATTGTATTAAACTAACAAATTATTTTAAAACATAACTGCAATATAATGTACTCCAATAGTATGAATTTGAATAATAATAATAATAATAATTTATTGTATATAAAAATAGTAATATACTAAAATATATGATATTTTTATTATCAAAATGAGATTTCCAAACAATCATTAAGTTGCAAATGTATTACTATTTATTGATATATTTTTATCAAATAGTTGCAAATACCTCAAGAATTTATCAGTTTTTATATTAATATAAAAGTATCGGAAGTTTTGCTACGGAAGTGTTGACACTCTCTTGAGATAATGATATCGTCGAAAAAAAGTGCATTAAATATATTATTATTATTATTATTATTATTATTATTATTATTATTACCATAATATTATAAGTTTGCTGTTTAGCTATCATAACAAACAAAAAAGTCTTCATTATTTGTCAGCTAATACATTGTAAAAAAATTTACTAATAATTTATTATAATGTGTTTGACATATAATAAAGTAAATGAAGCGCCAAAAACACTAACACATATTGTTAAAAAATAGTAGACACCGTTTTTTTGATTGAAAAATTAATTTTAAATGCAAACAATATATTTTCAACAACAAAATAATAATTGAAGTGTAAGTATCAATCAATGAAGTGATGGCAAATATTAATAGATGATAGTCTTAATATTATATGATATGTTGAATAATTGTTATGTTAATGGTTTATCGATCCGTTGTATATATATACTTTATATACGGTATGATATGTGTAAAATGCTATCCATAGTAAAAAAATGTCATCGCATTGGCAGTGGAGGAGGTGTTGACATATCAAGAGATGGTGTCATTTGATGGATTGCTTTCAAAGCTTCTGAGAGCTCAAGAGATAAAAGATATGTCGTCTTCAAGAATTGTCTCGTCATTGTACGGCTCATCTGAATCCTCAGAGTTGTCATCTTTGGCACCAAATTGTCATTTGTATATAACATATACAATCATTTTTAAACAAATAAAACTATATACAGTATATACAGTATAGTAAATAATATAATATATATATATATATATATATTCTATAAAGTTTTTATTTTCATTTTTATGTCAACGCATTACATAAAATTAAACTAAACAATAGATATTTTTTATTAAAAACATTTTTTTAAAGTATAGATAAATTTATCACAAAAAATAATTATAAAATTTTCAATTTATATATATATGAAAAAACTGTTTCTCTTTTATCACAACTTTTCTTATTATTTTTAACTGAATTTATGTATCATATCTCCAGTTCCTATCTCTTTAAACATTGCTATTTTCAATATTAATGTAAACTAATTTAATATAATAATAATAATAATGGGAAAATATAATTTTAAACATATACTATATTTAAAAACTTTTATGAACTATTTGAAAAATAATATATAATGTTTTTTTTTGCTGAACTAATTTTAGCAACAAATATACAATTTAACAAAATTAATAATATGAGTTACTTGTCATAGAAAAGTATTATTAAATAAAACAAGCGTTAAAGTTGAGCACAAATTTTAACATTTTTATTGATTAAAGAGTTTTAGTTAACATTTATTGTTGTAATAAATGTACTTAATTTTTATGATATAAATAGCGCACAATTATTTTTAATAATAATAATAATGATATTGTCAGATTTTTAGACAAAAATTATACTGTCTCTGTCATAATATAATTGTTTCATAAAGTTTCAATATTAGTTTTTTAGACACTAATTACATATTTTGAATGCCTGAAACTTTTTAAATTGTTTACAAAATTATGTTTTAAAAAGATATTTAATAAATTATTAATTAGCAAATATTAAAATGTTAATAAGTCAATCACAAATTTTATACAAAATATGTGACAATTTTTCTTAAAATTTACTATATATTGAATAACATTATAATACTATATTAATTATGAAAAAATATCATTTTTATAGTTAAATCAGAAACTAATTTTTATATTATAATTTAATCTATCATACTTATAACAAAATATAACATAAATTATTTATAAAGTCTATTGGAAAATTAATGATATTTTGTTATTGTTTTATATTGTTATGACATTTTTTCAATATTTAATGATTAAACAATTGAATTCAAAATTTTTTATACTTGAAAAAAATTTTATTATTATTTATTTATTTTTTTATACGACAGAAATATTATTATTGTTATGTATAAAAAAAGTGCATCAAATTTATGAAATATCAAAAACTTTTTCTATTATTTATAAACTTTACAGCATTTTTACAATATTTTTTTTTTAGTTTTTAAGCCACAAAAATCTTTGGCAAAAATCTTTTACTGGTTTATTAACACTTAAAGCTAATGCATTTAAGCGCACCGGGAGGTCTGCGCTATCAAATATTATTATTTAAAGCCTCTTTTTAAATATTAACAAAAAAAGATTTATACAGAATTTATTAATAATAAAAAAAAGTAAAACATGATTTATAGTTTAACTACAATTTTAACTAAATTGATTTATTTTTCAAAAATTCATTATAATATTATAACTTTAAATATTATTTTATTTTTATCTTATAATTTTATATTTAATATATTAATATTTTTTAACACAATAGTTTTGTTTTTTAAAACATATTTATATAATAAAAGTTACAAAAAATACAAATAAAATTACTTTATATATTTTTCTAAGACAATATTACATAATGTTAAAAAAAATAATTCAAAATTTATTCTTTTATTTTTGTTTTTATAAAAAATACATTCTTTTATTTAGAAAATTATTATCTTTAGCAATCTATAGTACTTATATAGTAATTGTAATATTATACTAAAAAATTATCACTGAAAACAAATAAATATAATGGATTTTATTTTTATAAAAAAAAAATAATGATTGCACTTCCACTATGTTTTGGTATTTCTATAGTAAATATGTGTACCAAATAAATATATATGTGAATGATGTATACTTAATTAAAATAGGTGTTAATAATAAATCAATAGAGTGAAAGCAAACCTAATCAATCATATAAAATATATTTTGTTGATGCTATATATATATCAGGGTTAAGCAAGATTTTGATTTTAGGGGGTAAATGATGGGGTGAAATGGAAAATTTTTGTGGGGTTATAGGGTGGGTGTACATTTTTATTGCATTTTTAAACGACAATTTTCAAAATTCAGAGGGAGTCAAGAGAAAATTTCCCAAAATACCATATAAATAGAAGGAAATTCCCAGAAAAGTAGAAAATATTCCCAATAAATTTCTTAAATTTTAGAAATATTTTCATATATAAGTCATAGAAAAACAGCTGCTTTTGGCTTATTATAATATTTGGCTTTATTTTAACGTAAATTAAAATATTTTACTAAGTTTTAGTAAATAATTCATTTTTAAATATGTTTTAAAAACACAAAAACAATAATAAATGTCAGTAAAAATTTTAATTTCTTTAATTTCAAAAAAATATATCGACGCCAAAATTTTAGGCTCGTTTTTAGGCTAAAATTTTTCCGATTTGATAAAACAAGTGTTGGCCATAAAATCCCAAAATGTCAATCTTAGGGTATATTTTCACCACACCATACAACCCCTACCCCATTGCTTAACTCTGTTATATATTGATATGTGTACGTATAGTCTGGCAGTTTGATAATTACTAGTGAAAGCATTTTTTATAGACTCTATAAGGAATCACACATAAGATTACTTATCAATAGCTGAATCGGTCGACACATTAATGCTATTATTAGTGATAATTATAAGAGAGTGCAAACACAGGCATTTCATAGTATCCATTAATTAGTACTCTTTATATATTATATAAGACTAGGAGTAGTACTCTCTCTCTCTCTTTCTTTCTCTCTTTCTTTCTCTTTCTTTTTTCTCTCTTATATATTGTATATGTTTTTCTCTATTTGTATATCTCTAGAGAATTTCTATTATATTTTTTAAACAAATATTCATTTTTATGTTTATTATATCTCTTAGGAAATAATAATTTATTTTGTAAGCCACTAATATCGACACTTTTTTTTGTTAAGAATGAAAACAAAACAAAATCTTATATCTAAGTCGTACAACAAAATATAAAAACAAATTGTGTAACACTATTGTCAATACAATCTACAATACAATATTAAAATACTTTAAGTCATAATGTTGTGAATAAATAATTAGATGAAAGAGAGAGAGAGAGAGAGAAATGCGAGAATATATGTGTATATTATATAAAAAGCGGAATATTCTTTATTTGTAAGAAGACTATAAAAATAAGGCAAAAAAGTAATGCAC